ATCTTTTTCCACGATTATCGCCTGTTTCTTATGCTCAACTTGTTTCCTTTCCTTCTTTAATGCTATGGATAAAGATCACAACGTCTTTTCTCTTAATTAGTGTTGCGATTCTCAATCCACCCTGTGTGTCTCCATTTCCCATCATTTTATTCTTCTTTCCTTTTGTTTGCTTTAATAGCCATTTTATAAAAGCTGAACAGAAAAAAAGAGGAAAAAGCACAAGCGACAAGCAATTCAACAACGACGACTAAGGTAAATTTCTTTTTATTCTTGTTAAAATGAAAATTTCTCTTGTCGCTTCCGTTTTCAATTTTTTTTTTCTGTTCTGTGCTTTAGCTTTTACAATAAGAAAGTTTCTTATTCAAACTCGAATGAGAGCGTAAAGCGATTGTTGGTAGAGATGTCGATGCCAAATGTGCAAGTGATTTAGTATTTTCTTGATTCTGTCTGAAGCTTTGAGAAGGATTCTTGTAGATATCTTAAAGATTTTCGTGGTGATAAATCGTGGAAGCTTGTCTAGGAGTCACTGCTTTACTTTTGGGAACTGAGAATTATTCTAAACGTTTTAACGGGTTTTAAAATTTTGATATTTTACATTCTTGTAAGTTTTAAAAATTTAACGGTTTTGTAAATTTTGAACATTTAACGATTTTATCGACGGTAAAAATTTAATGATTTTGTAGATTTTGAAAATTTAACGGTTTTGTAGATTTTGAAAATATGAACCGTTTTCACAATGATTCAGAATCGAAAAAAATGTTCAAAAATTCAAAAATTTCATGTTAATTAAACTTTGTCTTTTAAATGCCAGATTAAAGATCTTTCCTTTGTGCATATCCTTTAAAAATATCTCGTTCCTATTTGCTGTCTAACTCCAGAAATCATTAATTTAATCTCACCCAAAATTTGTTTACAATTTGAGTATGAAAATAGAAATATGATTTTTTCTACTTTAAGTTGTTATTTGGATGTCTTGGAAGCAGTTGCTAGCTAATTTAAGCTTAGCTCTACATATTAAAACAACGAACTCAATAGAAAGTTGCTTATTAAGCCTTAAAAATGGAATTGAAATCTGAGTATTTTTACAAAACTTAAACTATTCATAAGTTAAAAAGTCTTCCAAAGACCTCTCTGAAACCTATACAAATCAATTAATTAACCTTAAATCTATCTCCCATATTACTGAGGACATGCCGTTTGATGCCGTTTTCGAGATATTTGCGATCAAAGTTTACATAAAATTTCATACAAAGTTTGATCATGCACAATATTTTTTGATAAACTTTTACAAACTTTTGATAAAAAAACATGTTTATCCTTTATATTATGGACTGATTTTTTAAGCAATGAACGAAAATATTATGTAGAAGATGCTAAAAGAATCAAATCAAAAGAAATCAACAAAAACTTTCAATTTTCTAATGTGTCAGAAAAATATTGTGCACAAGGAATTTTTGAACATTTTTTCCGAATCTGAATCATTGTGGTTTTGTGGTTTTAGCTTTACATTTCTAAACCGTCTGAAAAAATTTAAATTTTACAAAAGTTTTGTAGCTTTTTGCAAATTCTTACTCTAAAATCGTGAACTAATGTTCATAACTTAGCAGATTCTTAATGAATCTACAACGCTCAAATCTATTAAGCTTTGTTAAAGCTTATTCACTCAAAACAGCCTCGAAAAGCATCTCAAGACATAAAAAAGATAGCAACAATCAGGCTAGAAAGGTTGACACCCCTATCGACTACAGAATCTTTAGATTTCTTCTGCTCTTGTTTTTAATTAACAATATTTATCACATAGATTCGTTCCTACATCGTAGCTTTTTTTTATCTGTTTCTTATACATAATGAATTTTTTGTAAATGATAGAATGGGTTTGGAAAATTGCCTATCTTTGCCTCACTCTACTTCCCTCCTTTTTTTTGCTCCTTTCGTTCTCAGTCGACGACCTAATTTCTTGCTCATTCTCTATAAAAGAAATCCCATAAAGGGAATTTTCTTGTGATTTCACTTAAAGTTCACAGAGTAACGAGTAAAAAGGTAAGCCCGTAATTCCATAGTGCTGTTTAGTAACTTTTATGTTATTCATATCTTCTCCCAAATTTAATTTAACCATCAGCACCCCTTTTCGTTTCTCAATAAAAGTTTCATCCATATTTACAGAGAAAGGGAAATAAGAGTTAAGTTTTGCTTCAAAAAAAAAATTAAAACTTCCTCTCCTTCATCTTGCTTGCTTTTCATTCCAATAAAACTTCATTTTATTTTAAAAAATGTTTTTGCTTATTTTTTGTTTGTCGCGCAAAATTTTTCATATTTCCAGTAAATGTTTATTTATTTATTTTTTTGTGTGTATCTACTTACATTACTGCCTTAAAAAAATACACCTACGCAAAAATAAAAAACGAAAAAATAAGAAAAATTATAAAACATTCACACACGTATGGAAATTTAGTTCGGGGGGTATGAGAAAGACACCACAAGAATTTTTAATTTTTTTCCTTCCACTTTTTTTTTATTTCGCTACCTTGCTGAATATCTCTCTCATCTCACAATTTATACTTTTTTTTTTCTTTTATGAAAAATTGAAGGCAATTTTTTTTGCATTTTTTCGTCTTCCTTTTGGGGCTGTCCGCAAATGACGTCTAGTTCTTATGGTATAAAGTGGTCTGAAGCTGTGTGATACTTCAAATGACAGAGGGGTTGGTTGATTTGTCTCTTGGAACGATTTATTAGGGATATCCTGGGATGTTCCACTGTCATACCAGAAGGAGGTTCACCCTGATGTATTCACTACCCCTGTCATACAAGAGCTTACTACAGTATTGACTTTATTCTAGAATAGCATCAAATACCAGAATAAACCACAACCTAGTATGACCTAGAATGAGATGTTCTCTAGTATAATCTTAGTATAACCAGGGTATACTCAAGAAATCTTTCCCTAAGAAAACCGAATTAAAAATATAGACGTCATTTGTGAACAACCTCACTCATGCTTTTGAAGAATTCAAAATAAAAAATCGAAAACTTTTTTTACTCATTAATTAGTATTGCTTTTAGATATATACCTTTTTGGTTTTGTGAATGCAGTGAACTTTATATTTTGATACCGAAACTCGGTACCTTTGTGTCTTCATTCAAACGAATTTGTTTTAGAAAAGATGTATTTATTTGTGTGTGTAAGGAAAGTACATATTTGTATAAATTGATGATACTTCTTTATAGATTTTCCGTATACTTTAGCAATTCCTACATCTCATATCCAGGCGGTCGCGTAGAGTTTGTTTATAAATTTGTTCAACAAATATGTATGCACAAATCTTTTACCGCACAGGATCTGCCTGATATTATCGATTTCTCTATCCTCTTACCCGAGAAACTTTAATCATTTCTCATTCCATTTTTATCAAGTATTTTCATTCCTTTATTTTTTTGTAATTTATCAGAGAGCTTTTTTTTGCGGTACCACAAAGTGTTGATGATGTTCATCTTCATCTTGCCTCTACTTAAAGTTTATTTTGGCATGTTTATCTTTTTCTGATCCATTAAAAAATTGTTTTTTTTTTGTATGTCCGTATGTTAAGCAGAAGAGCCCTTCATTACAATTCTTACTAATTGTTTGGTATTGTTTTACATAGAAAATTTAATAGACTAAATGAATTATTGGTCAGTGTGTATGGATTCTCATGCATACTATTTGTTTTGTTAATTATTCATTTTGTAGTTTTACTGGCTTTAAGGCTGCTTGATTTAATTGGGATTTGCTGGTTAAGAATGATATAGTTTCGATAATATTGGTTTTTGATGAATCTATGCTAAGCTTTCAACGTTTAAGTTGAACTTTCAGCGTTGTTTGCTTTCTTAGACACAGTTCAGCATGAAAATTTTCAAATATTTGATCTTTTAAGCTTCAAACTTGACTGCCGATGACTTTTGCCACCTTTTTGAACATTTATGAGCTCAAACTTTTTATTTTCGAGTCTTATTTTTCATGTTATTGCAATTTTATTTCTAAATATGGAAAAAAATCAAAATGGTTGACATCACACGTGGTTTTTATCGTAATTTTTTTTTATAAATTTAATGTTTTTGGACAATTTTTCTCGATTGGATTGCCCATCGAATTGAAAATTCGAGAAGTTTTACGAGAAAATTCTTCAGAAAAAACTTCCAAATCACATTTTAATCCAACAAATTCAATCTTCATAAAGCAATCTTAATACCAGCATTGGCAGTCCTTCGTTTAATTATTCATTTGTGTCTCATTTCATTAAAGCTTCATTCCCTCGAGACTTTAAGTCAATCTTGAAAAAGTTTCACATTAAGAGCTTTCTAAATTACGTCTAATTTCCTTAAAGAGTTCTTGAAACTTTTAGGTTGAGCTTTTTTTTCACTTGTGCCATTTCAAATTAACGTCTTCTATGTAATAATGGGCTTGGATCATCTCATCGAGAGAGTAAAGTTTTTCTTCTGCTGAAAAATACCAAAAAATTGTTAATATGTGTTGATAGATTTGGGCATAAAAAAGTTTTTTCCTTGCTCAACATTCCGCTTCAATCTACATCGTCGTCGTTACTCACATTAAACTAATTTATTATTTATTAATTCATTTCCTATCTTTCCTACTCACTCTCGATACATACACTTAAAATATATTAAGCGCAAAATGTTGTTCTCTCTTGTGTGTTACGTCTGTCATTTTTCCATGAATTATTAATAAAAATTTTCATTATTTTTCACTATTAAAATGTGTGGCATGTTATTCTCGTTAATTATTTAAATTCAATATGTGTAATTTTTTTTCCTTTATGATTTTTTTTTGTTTTCATTAAAAATTATTTGTTTTTTCTTTAATTAATTTATGGGTTTTTTTTTTCGTTTCTTAAATATTAAATTGAAAAGAACACATTTTCATTTCTTCATTTTTTTGTTTTATTATTGAATTTTTTTTCTATCGTTTTAGAAATTAAAAAAGAGAATTTTTTTCATATTTTTTTTTTCATCCGTCCATCCGAGTTGGATTTCTCGATGGTGCTTCTCAATTATCACTTAAATTAAATGACAGTCTCTAATTAAATTTTATATTTTTCGAAGTCATCAAGCAACTGTTATTTGATTTTTGTGCTTTTTTATGCATGCTCTGGAGGATAGTGACTTTGTTCCTTAACACAATTATCAAAGTTCACTTAATACTTTATGAATTTGATGAAGGCTTGCTTGTTCTATATTCAATTATGACTGTCAAGAAAGCTATGAAAGGAAATAAAAGAATTGATTCAATAAACCCAATCAGCACACATTTGAAGGAAGCTATTATCTTAGCAGAATGCTAAGAATTAAGAAATCACAATTTTCCCGCCAAAATTTGTTCAAATTCATAAGATTTCAAATCTACAGCTCCCGGAGAACTTGTAATTCACCCAATATCTACTACCTCACATGACTATCTTGACATCATCAGACATTCGACCTGGTAAATTAAATTCTTATATCATTCAGATAGACTTTCAATATCCATAAGAAATGGATTAAAGAATGATCAAGAATTTAATTAAACAAGCTTGAAAATCTCATCAAATTTTCATCATCTTGCAACGATTCATGAACTTTTTTTTTTTAATTTAATAAGCCCTCCAGTAAATAGGATTAGAAGCAGCATCGAGAAAATTCACCCCAATTGAAGCTTTTTCCCTCCATTTTTTTTTTGATTTATTAAATATTAAGTTTATGACTTTTTTTTTGAAAATTCCTAAATCCTTCATTTTTCACCTTGGTAATACTGAGTTCATCTAATTAACTACCATGTATGTGTTGTGTTATAATTTCATCATAAATTTTCATTCATTTATCCTAAATGGGATTTTTTTTCATCATTAATTAATTAAGTTTCTTTAAATATCATCATCAGTTAAATAACTTCAAAATTTAATTATTTAAATAACTTAAGAGTAAATGGTTATGACTTCACGACCACCACCTCGCACCATCAAAACACGTTCTAAGCCTTCAGTTAATACTTCTAAAAATTCCATGTCTGTTGTAATATCATCATTGTTGTTGAATAGGAATTGGCATTAAGGGAGAAAAAAAAACAAAAATAAAATTTAAATTTTAAATTCCTTCTCATCCTCGAGAAAAACATTATTAAAATGCAAGGGGGACAACAACATGATGAGGAAAAGTTTTGATGAAAAATTTCCACTTGAAAACTTTCATTATTTTTCACAAATTTCCCGCCAAAATTTTAGATCCTGTTATCAAAAATTTAAATCATCACGTTGTTTCCCCCTTATTAAAATGTAAATTCAATTACATTCTACATTATTAAGTTATCTCACTTACAATTGCATTCTCGTTCCAGCGATGTGTCTTTCGGTGGACCAGGCAGGTTGAGAATTACTAATTGAGCGTCATGGGATTTGTTAACAATCACTTCATTAAGTTTCACAGCTGTATGCATACGTCGCACATTGCCCTCATCTCTAAACAATTTTGGATCGTATGGACTATGAGATTTGTTTGGTTTAAGTTTGTGGTTTGGATGGAAATGGAAAAATGAATACAGAAAATTTTTATTATACATTTGAGGATTATTTGTATGAATATGGTAGAACATGTGAACAAAAATTAGACAATTCCGCTATGTGTGATGCAAATTTTGACATTTTAGATCCGGGATGAAGCTTAGGATTTTTGAGGTTATCTGAAGAACGTGATTTTGGGTTGTTTTGAGTTTTTAATAATAAATTGCAGGTTAAATCTTTGTTAAATTGAAATGAACTTACGTAGAAACAGCAGAAAGGATTAAAACTTATTCAAAACTCACGCAAATTCTAGAAAAAGTTAAGTTTTTGTGCTAATGTAAACAATGAGTGACTTTTAATTGAAAATTCTAATTTTAGAGCATCCAGAAGTAGAGTTAACATCTGATAAGATGAAGATGACAATGTTGTATCACTAATAAGTATGCTTAAAGCTCCTTACCATTGTATATTATATGTTTATTCTTAGAAGTTCAAAGACAGATCTTGAGGGGGACTAATAACCATTAAGGGGAAAGCAACTAATCGTTGCTACTTATATAATTTGAAAATAAAATGACTTTTGGCATATTCTCAACAACATCATCAAACTGTTCGAAACATTTTCAATTTCACACTTGAATTACTTTAAAACTTCCATTTCCATGGAAAGGTACAATGTAAACTTCTTTGGCTGTTTATTCTGAGGATTTTCTTCTTACAATAAATATCAATTCCAAACAATCTGTTGCGTAAAATTTCCAAGCAACGCCACGTCAAGCAATGTTTTTTTGTAAATTTGCCTCATTTAAAAGGTCAAGAATTGTCACAATTTTCACACTCGAGAGAAAATAAATTCGCAGAAAAGCAGTGTTGCTGACTGAATAGCTTTGAAACAGATTTGAGAAAATTTTTATTTACTTGGAACTTGAAAAAACGGAAAGATTAGAGCTAATTTGACAGTGATTTCGTGTCAAATGAATTTAGCAAAGGACAGCAACAACACTGCTACAATCGTCAAAGTATACTCACGGCTTTTTCTTTTTGTCATCAGTATTTGGAGCTGATGATGATTTACTATCTGAATTCTTATCGTCGTCATCATCATCGTCATCACTAAGTGGAAGTTTTTCTGGACTAGCAGAATCTTTGATTGACACGTCTTCTGAACTTTTGGCTTTGTCATCATCATCATTATCCATCTCTTTTGTATCTTTGTCCTTCTCGAATTCCATCTGTAAATTATTTCAATTTAATTTTTTAAAGATAAAAGCACGCGGAATATTCTCACCTCAGTTGACTCATCTAGCACTTTATCACTTATATCTGTCTTTGATGATGTATCAACAAATCTCACTTTACTAATTGTGGTTCGTGTTCCTTCATGTCCCGGATGATGATGGTCGACGATTGCTTGTACCTGTTAAATATTCATTATCTAATGAGTTTCAGTTTCGTTCGTTAACTTTAAAATGTTTTATTTTTGCATGTAAGATGAGCATGTCGTAATGTATCTCAATTTAATTTATATATTCATGAGTTTTATGCATGATTGTGGTTATGGTGACGATGAGTAAAACTTTTGTGGATAAAGTTTCTTGTTTTCTCAAGTTTTTGGATGATGAATGGATTGAGTTTTTTGTGCGCATTTTTGATAGAAAGTTGGGTATGGTGTGTTCAGAGGAGACCAGACTCTATGGAAGCCTTACAACTCTGGTTCAGATTGACTTGGGTGGTTTATTGAAACTTTACATGGTTTCTTCAGAAGATGTAAGGCTAGGCTAAGTGTCTCTTAAAGCAACTTTCTCACTAGTTATTGCATATATGCACGAAATTTACTTCAATTCAGTCTAACTTTAGTAATTTCCTCGCTATTTTATCACTATATGATTTCAAATTGACCAATAAACTACCAAACTACTTCCCCTATAGTAGCTTATTCCAAGATAAGAATCTCATAACTCTCAGGACATAGTAATAAACTTGATGGTCACCTTAGCTAAATTGAAAAACTTTCCCCAACTCAAGGTCATTTGTAACAATTTTCAGATCATTAGTACATCCATAGCTACCAAAGAATTTATGACCAGCTATTAACAGTAATGCTCATTTGTAATCTCCACTAGAGTTGCAAATCCTTCAAGTATATAAATTATTCAGTATTCAATACAAATCAGTATCCCCATCAGCTTCAGCATTTCAATGGAAACAGAAAGAAGGACGTTGATGATAAAAAATTTACATGAGCTAAAATTCGCAAGCAAAGCATGAAATTTCTATGCATAATGGAAGAAGCATTAAATGCATATATGCAAGAAGTTTTCTTAGTCATGTCTGCTGAGCTTGCTTTGGGCGAAATTGATTTTCTTCAAGGATGGAATATATTGTGAAGAGTCTTTAGATTTTTCAAGGATAGTCAAGGAGATCCAGCTTGAATCTTCATTTGCATGCTGAGTAGAACTGATAGCTAGGTTTGTGTGACTGTAGATCTGGGTCAGATCCAAATCTTCAATACTATCCTACATTTTAGTCAAGGATCAGACTTCATGTATATGGAGTATTGATGAAAGTCAGTTTTGAGGAGTCGCACTCAGTGATAACAAGGCTCCATTTGGAAGCTAAAATGGATTCGGAATCCTTCGATAACTCTGTGTCACTCTGGAGAGATAACACATTAGAAAACTAGACTATCCTCCCAAACTGTGCAGTACTGATCGTAATCAAACATGACAACCTCAATACCTACCATACCTCAAGTACCTAACAAAAATGCGCCACAAAATGTCAATCCACAAAGTCAAAATGAATCACAATTAAAAAAGTAAATAAAAGAAGTATGAATTTCAACAGCAATGACTTTAATGAATAGCAGGAACAGAGACAGGTATGTATAGAGAATAGTTTTGAATGCAAAGAGATGATAATAATGATTAAGAATGCATCAAAAAAAAGAAGAATAATAAAATCTACATCTACATGATGATATGATAAATTGAAAAAACCCTTTACATGACAAGTAAAATAAATGAGAAAGATAAACTTAAATGCTACACACATTTATGTGATAACTAACGATAAGAACAAGCAGCAATGGAGGAAAAAAACTTTTCCATATCCACACATCGCTTATTTTTTCCACATATAGAACTAGCAAAGATATAAAAAGTTATATTGATCGTAGATGAAAATCATAAGTACATTTAAGTTTGATTCCTTCACATTATTACGTGATATAGTATTTGTACAGCTTGTAATTCCATTTCAACTACGTGACAAAAGTTTATCCGCTTGTTATTTTTTCAGACTTAAATCAAATAGCACACAAAATGGAACGAGCACCCTCCGTCTGCATACAGTTATTAAAACTTTCCCCGCAAATGCATTCCTTCTTTATCAATTCTACTTAAAGAGCATTTTCTCGTGTACAGCTTTCAATGGAAGTCATAAAAGGGTTGTTTAAGAATTCCTCATCTGTCGCAACTGAGCTGAGTGACATAGAAATGAAAAAGGATTTTATTTTTCGTGCCACGATGATAATGCAAAGGTGTCAGGTGGCATCTCTTCTTTTTCATGTCTTTCCTTATAGACTTAAAACACCGTCGAAAACGTACAAAAGTTCAGAAAATTAGCATGAAATAATTGAAGGTTTTTAAATGGATTATTAAAGTTGGAACGGCTTTATTGAAAGCTTTAAAGACTGGTGTTGTGAAAGAAGGAGAATAAGATTCTCGAAGAAATGAAATAAATTTCTTTTAAGCTGTACTTTATCATGAAAAATAACTCATAAATACTCACTCAATAATCAGAGCAGTTGTTGGATATCTTGAATGAAGATTGATGATTTGAAACTGGTTTTTTTCAGTTTGAATTCAAAACAGAGCGAATTCATAGTCGTTGCCCTGCATAACTCTGCTTCATTTAAAGTTTAAGCCCCTTGATTATTTATAAAAGCATGAGATATTCTAGAGATTAATTAAATTGTTGATTTTGCATGAAAAAAGAGTTTGTAGTGAGTGTTTTTAGATCAATCATTGAGTTTATATAACATTTAGTCTTTCGAATTTTAAATTTTCAGCAGTGATGCTAACTTATCGATAATTTCAAGAAAATGTAATAATTTTTCTTTTCTGATTATTATTTGAACGTAGACAAGCAATGTGGAAGTATTGCAAGAACTCTACCGTTGCTCAACTTATTAATTCTGTACATAAATTACGAAATAATTTTACTCGACTTTCAAAGAACTCATCAGAGCATTGCTAACAAGTTTGAGCTTATTAATCTACAAATAATTAAGTAGAATACATAATGAACTTCTCGATAGCATTTTCATTAATTAATGTTATGCTTTTAATGAAATTAATTTTCAATCGAGAAGAGAAATACGTAATGCAATGTAGTGACAACTTTTATGCTATTAACATAAATTTACGGATGTGTAGACGCTGTATCGTTTCTACGAATAAAGAATTCCTTAATCCTACAAAGAAAAATGTTTCTTTTTAGTTTCTTTATAAAACGAAATACGGATTGATGCTGAATTACTTTGATCACTTAAGCGTATAACCACTCTCAATTTATACAATACCAACAGTAAAAGTGGTGAAAAAATGAAATCCTTACGATAAAAAAGGATAGGAATTTTGTGTGTGTGTGTGTGTGTGAGGTGATGAGAAGGAAATTTATTTAAGAAGACTAGTAAAAATCGCCCGTCAGAATGAATAAATAAAACCTTTCTCATTGATAAACCATAGATTGGCATGTTATTTCAAGAACCACACAAAACTTTATATTCATAAAAATCCTATTTTTATATAATGAAATTTGTGGTAAATAGAAATTGTTTGGCTTTGGGTTGAAATTTATATTGGATGTTTACGTCAAATGCATTTGTTGCGTATATCCAACAATATAATCATTACGTCATCACCGCAACAAACAATAATAATTGTTACGTGAATTTTCGTATGTTTACAAACTTCTGTGTGTACCCATGATTCATGAATATATTCTAAACATAGGCAGATGAGGATATTCAACTAATTATGCGGTTTCGATATTAATTTTCATGACTTGATTTGACTGTAAATGTTTGGCGATTGTGGGAGCTTTTGAACTGTAAATTTATCTGCAACTGATTTGTTTGAGTTAGGGCTTTCTAAGATATTTATAGGATGTAGCTTGAAAGAAAGGCTATTGGCTTGGCAGATGATTTTTCTGAGGATGAGAAACAATATCAAATACCAAACCAGATTTGAGCAATTTCTGGTAATTCCTGCATCTTACAGAATCTTCTATGCACTTAAGATACTATAAATAGTTTAAACAAATTATTGAACTTAACCTTCAATTCTAAACCTTAACATAAAATAAAGTCTGCCTTCATTATAAACAATTTTAAAGCACGCTTAAAATCGATAAAGTTCACAACATTTTTAAGCACTGCGCTTTTCTCTCAGATTTATCATTAAATTTACCAGTTGAATCTTTTATTCTCAAGAATCAACAATAAAATTCGTATTTAAAACAGCCATGTAAAACTTCGTGTTATTCTCTACAATCTACTTAATATTTTAACATGCTGCATAAGGCCGAAAGAAGCTTAACATCAAGATTTACTTAGATGACAGGCAGTTTATATTTATTAAGTATAGAAGCACGCTGCGTTTCATCTTATGGCCATGCTGCACGAAAGAAATGAATTGTAGAGAAATTCGTAACCAATCAATTTCATCCGAAGGAGAGGAGTGACTAAAGTACATAAGTATGTAAAGCATAATGTAATGATTCTCACTTAGATCTCATGAAATATTTTATACTTGAGCATGAAAGTAAATTGTGAAATATTTAATGGCTGTGCATGAAGACATGAAAGAACGAGATTGTATGTCTATCTGGTAAACAGCTTTAGATTTGATATCAGTGTTATGTTGCCGTAATTTATTGTGTTGTCTTTCACCACTAATGGCAAGTAAATGTACAATCTATCAGCCATGTAGCATGAAAGCTATTGATGTTCACAAAATTAAATTCATTGGATTTTACCACACAAAATAAAGTTTCTGCTTAATGCTGACAAATTTTCTTACTCGTTTTACTTTCAGCTCTTTTATCAAGAATGTCACGCAAACACTCCTTTCGCTGAAAGTGAGAAGCGCTGATGAATAGTGCAATAAAATTTAAAGTGTCTAGGCAAAGAAATGAAATGGAATGCTTGAGAGAACGATATGAACTTAATCTCTCATATGCTTTTGTTCCTGACAGTTCAAAATAAATATTTCATTTACACTTTCTTCCTCTGCTTTTTGCTTCATAGAAAGTGGGCAATTTTTCAAATGAAATACTTGAATTTTTTGAAAGCTCTTTTTTGTCAGTAAAAGCTTCTATGAATTGAGCTTTAGCATCCCATAGTTTTTGTTT